CAGCGCTGAGCTCCAGTCCAACACAGCCACTCTAGTCTGTCTGTCCAGTCAGTCTGTGCCTTTTGCAGATGTGAGCTGGGTGTCTGGTGGGAGTCCAGTGAGCAGTGGGATCTCTACCAGCAACGCTGTTCAGAAACCAGACCAGACTTTCCAAATCAGCAGCTCTCTGGCCATCCAGACGTCAGACTGGAACATGGATAAGGTTTACACATGTAAAGTGTCTTTGGGCTCCCAGACTTCAGAGAAAAATATCAAGAAGTCAAACTGTCCCACTGAATAATAGCAGAGGAGCAGAATGACCATTTCTAATCTGCTTCTTTACTGTTTGTGCTGTTTGCTCATTACAAGGTTTACATGTTAGAAAAGATGTGTCTGCATGCTTGTAATAAATGTTGTGACAGTTAGGTGGAGGTGTTGTATCAGCTTTGCAACTGCTGCATTTTTCAAGATTCATTCAATAAAAAAATACAAAAAACTGTGAACAAAAAGTTTTTCTATTTATTTGTTTTATTTAAAACATAATTTGAAACAATAATGTTCTACACAATATTGTAACCTTTACCAAGTTACAGATATATTTATAATTATTACTTGAATGTCTATATTTAAATTCTGAAAGCTACATTATTATTAGATGTTAATTTACAAGAAAAGCACAACAGAAAGATTAATATTACATTGCCTGCTTTTAGTTGCTTGCAGTAGTTCAGACTTTAGAAAAATCAAATAAAATGAGAAAATGAAACTGAGTTTTCATCCTCCGTCAATGAAGCATCATCTCTCTACTCCTCCCTCTCTTCCTCCCCAGGATGCACCTTACAGCTGCATGTAAATGAAGAGGTCAAGGGCAGCTATCACTTTGTGACATATAATGTGTGTATCTTATGTACAAAGCCAAGACCTATATTCTGCAAAGGATATCCACTTTCCAGACTTTGATATTATATAATGAAGATTTTATTTCTGAAGTTAAGATACAGTCAATCTTTATCTGATATTTTGAAAATGCACCTTAAACTAATTCCATTAATTACCCACTGGCCACAGCAAAAATACACAACTGTGAAACTGATTTTCTCACATCATTAATTTCAAAAGTGTACTTTTTTTAACAAACATGGAATGTAATAAATACATACATACAGATATGAGACCTACAAGGCTGTAATATCAGAAAACATGTTAGAATTATAAGGAGTATGCTGCTTTGAAATGAATGAAATCTAGCAGTGTCACATGCAGACTGAAATTATTTTATAACCAAAGCTCCTCCTCCTGTCAGTCACTCTCAGTTTCAGTATTGTATTAAATTGCTCCTCCAGCACCTCCTCTCCTCATCCTCCAAACCCTCTAATCTGTCAGCAGTACGCTCACTTTCCAAGTTACAAGGCCATTCTCAGCACACACTGACAACATGCTGGGGACCCTCTGCACTCTCATCACTGCTCTAACATGTAAGATATTCTTCTCATTCCTTTTATAGCCCATATTTTCACACAGAAACCATTCACTCATGTATTTCACTGTGTATGTTGACAGATGTTGATGCAGTGATAGTACTGACCCAGACGCCTGCTGTCCACACAGTTTCTACAGGACAAGAGGTTGTTCTAAACTGCAACATTGAGAGAGATGATGGAATTGCTGTTAGATGGTATAAACAGGTTCCTGGTGGAACTCCTCAGTATGTTGTTAGTTTTCTGGGTAAAGACGGTTCAATAATTTTCGGAACAGGATTCTCCTCAACCCGATTCAACTCTAAAGCCTCATCCAACATAGATTACCAGTTCATCATTAAGCGGGCAGAGACAGGAGACTCTGCTGTTTATTATTGTCTAACATGGGACAGCTCTGCTAACGAGGAGGTATCACAGTGATTCACACTGTGACAAAAACCTCAGTCAGAAACACTCTACAACCTTTTGTGAATTCTGAGAGAATTTTCATATTTGTTATTCTCAGTTTGATGCTGATATTTGAACTTTTAACAAAACCATGAAAACAAAAGGATGCAACAGAAGATTCAGAACCAGTCCTCAAGTCCAGCAGTGTCTCTGAATGTAAGCAGACTGATGAAGTGAATGAGATGTTGACAGTGAAAGTTGGTCTCAACAGGATGTTTCAGTTCCACTCCCCTCATTAGTGAGAGTCAGGAGGTTTTTGTACAGCCATGTATACAAACTGAATCACTGTGGTATTCGGACCAGGCACCAAGCTGATTGTGACAAGTAAGTTCCTTTTAACTGATTATATAACAAGGTAGATTCTCTGATTTTAATTTGTATAAACAGAAAATGATCATTATATTTGTTACTGCTTTTTAAAAGCATTTTAATTGTGTGAGGCACAGAAGGTTACTTTATGAATTCTTCAACATTTTTCAGTTAGTGATTAATAGTTTGTTTAAAAATTGATGTTTTTGTTTTTTTCTAATTATGTATGTTGGTAACACAGACATTTTTAATACCAGACTGTGAGGTTGCCAGGGGAGGAACAAATTTAAGAACTAACTGCTTGTGAACCATTAGTTAATAAGCAACTCCCAATCAAATTTTATACACTAGTTAACGATTAAGAATCATCAAGCATTCATTAAGAAACGAGTGAGGAACAAATTAGGGACGACTTGAAATATGATGATTTATTAACTTTTCTAATAATTCCTGCTGGAGGACTGTATAATAGAAGATGAATTACTAAAGAACAGACAGGGAGATAATATATTAATGAGTAATTGGGTAACAATTAGTTCAAAATATCCACTTTACTTTAAGGGTCACAAAAAGAGTAAATACCTTTGAGATAATGATGAAGTAAATGTTACCCAGTGACGTTATTTCCAGTTATTTAATGAATGTCCTTCATGTATTTTCAGGCTCCAGCCTCTCTCCTCCTGTCCTGACAGTCTTCCCTCCGTCCAGCGCTGAGCTCCAGTCCAACACAGCCACTCTGGTCTGTCTGTCCATTTTGCCCAGTGGGTCTAAGGGTTTTGCAGATGTGAGCTGGGTGTCTGGTGGGAGTCCAGTGAGCAGTGGGATCTCTACCAGCACCGCTGTTCAGAAACCAGACCAGACTTTCCAAATCAGCAGCTATCTGGCCATCCAGGCGTCAGACTGGAACATGGATAAGGTTTACACATGTAAAGTGTCTTTGGGCTCCCAGACTTCAGAGAAAAATATCAAGAAGTCAAACTGTCACACTGAATAATAGCAGAGGAGCAGAATTACCATTTCTAACCTGCTTCTTTACTGTTTGTGCTGTTTGCTCATTACAAGGTTTACATGTTAGAAAAGATGTGTCTGCATGCTTGTAATAAATGTTGTGACAGTTAGGTGGAGGTGTTGTATCAGCTTTGCAAATGATAAATGTATCAAGACATATTCAATAAAAAAGCATTGTGTCAAAACTTCTATTGCTGCTGTAATTTTTGTCACTGACAGTGAGTAGAAGACGGTAGACAAACTAATGCTTTCAGTCTCTCTTTGTTTTATTCAGAAAAACTGGCATACAAAATCATTCATAAGATATTGATGTAAATCAAGAAATTTACTTTTTTGTTACGTTTGCAAAAACTCAACAGAGCCAAAGTAGTTGCTTGTATGTTAAAGAAAATCCACTAAAATGTGTAGTAAATGAAACTGAGTTTCCATCAATGAAGCATCACCCCTCTACTCCTCCCTCTCTCCCCCCCAGGATGATGTATTTATTCATAACTTATAAAACAGTATTATAAGCAGAGATTTTACAGAACTTATATCAGAATAATCAATCTTTATTGACCAAGCGTGGGTAGACATACAAGGGATATGATTCCGGTTTTTCATTGTTCTCCTACAGTATGTTAAAAACAATGTGTATTTTAAAATGTAAACTGTGTAGCGGTATATCAACCACAAGGTGAAGGCACCTATCAATTCATCTTATCTGATGAAACTCTATTATAATTACTCTGGGCTTCATATTTGCATATATGTGTGTGCCAATTCTATAAATCCGTCATGAATTATAAATTAAGAAGGGCATGCATGTACTTACACATACTCACTGAAGATTTTCACATGAAGAAAAGCGTAATGAGCTGTATTTTTATCTATGTTTTAAATACAATGCTTTTATTGAGACAATCCATGCAAAATCTAACATCAGAATTTTTCATTTCTACAACAGCGCGAGCATAAAAGATTCAGATGAATCTAATCACTTTCTATTTGGGGCAGTGATTGTTTCTCACATTTGTTTTCCTGCAGTTTTATCATCCTAGATTCTTTGTCCACTTCCTAATAACTGGGATTCAACAATCTACTTCTATATAGTTTTCATATTGTTATTGCTTTTGATTGAGTTGAAAAAAAAATCACATCATATGATTCACATGTTTTTCAGATTTTAACATAAGGATATGAGATTTGGCTCTGCACACATGAACATAAATCACACGCATAATAAGTAAACTGTCTAACATTGACTTATTGCTAATAATAAAAACTATCAGTGTGTTTCCAGCCAGGGAAATTTCCCTTTGATTTTAGAGAGCTGACACTTGACCTCTTCATTCGAATACAGTTAAATAAGTAGGGGAGGCCGGCAGATGCATCCTGGGAAGGAAGAGAGGGAGGAGTACAGAGGTGATGCTTCATTGATGAAGGATGAAAACTCAGTTTCATTTTCTCATTTTATCAGATTTTTCTAACGTCTGAACTTTTGCAAGCAATTTGCCAGATAAAGTAATATTAATTAGTTTTTTATACTTTTGTTGCAAATTAACTATTAATTAGTTTCATGTGCTCATTTTATTAGACTTTTCTAACATCTTAATTATTGTAGGTGACTAAAACGAGGAAATGTAACACTTGTTTGTACTTTATTGCAAAGGTACACTTAAAAATAATTATATGCAGTTATTTAAAAATGGACAAGAAATACTTTATTGTCTGTGTATTTAGATTAACCCACAATGTCACAATGCACATCTAAAGAACACTAAATTCTTGAACACAAAGTTTTTTGATCACAATGTCTTTTTTATTGAATGAGTCTTTCGAAATGCAGCAGTTGCAAAGCTGATACAACACCTCCACCTAACTGTCACAACATTTATTACAAGCATGCAGACACATCTTTTCTAACATGTAAACCTTGTAATGAGCAAACAGCACAAACAGTAAAGAAGCAGATTAGAAATGGTCATTCTGCTCCTCCGCTATTCTTCAGTGGGACAGTCTGACTTCTTGATGTTTTTCTCTGAAGTCTGGGAGCCCAAAGACACTTTACATGTGTAAACCTTATCCATGTTCCAGTCTGATGTCTGGATGGCCAGATAGCTGCTGATTTGAAAAGTCTGGTCTGGTTTCTGAACAGCGGTGCTGGTAGAGATCCCACTGCTCACTGGACTCCCACCAGACAACCAGCTCACATCTGCAAAAGGCACAGACTGACTGGACAGACAGACCAGAGTGGCTGTGTTGGACTGGAGCTCAGCGCTGGACGGAGGGAAGACTGTCAGGACAGGAGGAGGGAAGCTGGAGCCTGAAAATACATGAAGGACATTCATTAAATAACTAGAAATGAAGCCATTCATACAGAAAATGTCAGTAAAACATTAATATATATTTTTTGTTTTAAAAATATAACAATCCTGCTGAAGAAGTAAAGCATTTTAAATCAGTAAAATCATAAACTAATATAAAACCAAATCAATCAGTCACAAACCTGGAAATATTTTGATCACTTCTGTGTCATTTTTATGTTGGTAACTAATTCATTATCTTCTCCTTCTGTGTCTTAAAAATTGTATTTTAATTCTAGTTTTGAAATCACAGTTATTCATTTTTTTGGCATCTATCTAATCATAAAAAGAAAAACAATATTTAATTTCAGTTTCACTGTAAATATCATCTTACACTGTTAAAACTTTTTGTTGGATTTAAAAATAAATAAATGTAATCTTGTAAAACCACAACTGTTAGAAATGCCCTGCCATCAAAAAACATACATATAAAATATTTAAAATATTGTGATAATTTACAGATCGTTCCTTTGTCTTCAAATGCATTCTGGTATCAAAGCAGATGTAAAAAAAAAAAAAAAAAGTAGAGCTTTCTATTATTATCTGCACAACATACTATAAACAATTAACACAAATGATTTCATTCTTTTAATATCTATCAGATCCAGAGAATCTTTCTTGTTTTATAATCAGTTAAAAGGAACTTACTTGTCACAATCAGCTTGGTGCCTGGTCCGAATACCACAGTGATTCAGTTTGTATACATGGCTGTACAAAAACCTCCTGACTCTCACTAATGAGGGGAGTGGAACTGAAACATCCTGTTGAGACCAACTTTCACTGTCAACATCTCATTCACTTCATCAGTCTGCTTACATTCAGAAACACTGCTGGACTTGAAGACTGGTTCTGAATCTTCTGTTGCATCCTTTTGTTTTCATGATTTTGTTAAAAGTTCAAATATCAGCATCAAACTGAGAATAACAAATATGAAAATGTTCTCAGAATTCATAGAAGCTGAGGTGAGTCTCTCATTGAGGTTTTTGTCACAGTGTAAATCACTGTGATACAGCTGCATCATCAGAGTCGTCCCATGTCTGACAGTAATAGACAGCAGAGTCTCCTGTCTCTGCCCGCTTAATGATAAACTGGTAATCTATGTTTGATGAATATTTGGAGTTGAATCGGTCTGAGGAGAATCCTGTTCCAAAGGAAAGTGAGCCCCCTGCACGAAATCTCAAAACATACTGAGGAGTTCCACCAGGAACCTGTTTATACCAACGGACATAATTTCCATCATATCTCTCAATGTTGCAGTTGAGAACAACCTCTTGTCCTGTAGAAACTGTGTGGACAGCAGGCGTCTGGGTCAGCACTATCACTGCATCAACATCTGTCAACATACACAGAAAAACACATGAGTGAAAGGTTTCTGTGTGAAAATTAAGCTATAAAAGGAATGAGAAGAACATCTTACATGTTAGAGCAGTGATGAGAGTGCAGAGGGTCCCCAGCATGTTGTCAGTGTGTGGTGTAAACGTCCCTTACTGTCCAGCTGAGAGGTGAGCAGGGTTGGAGTGTGAGGAGAAGAGAGACTGAAGCTTATAAAGACACTGAGGAGAGGAGAAGTGGAGGAGGAGGAGTTTCTACACTCAACACTGTTCTCATTCATTAATAATTGACTTAATGTATGTGTTTCAAGTCATATCCACAATTTGTTTTTGTTATTGTCTTGTTGTCTTTGGAGGTCTGCTGATGTCTTTTACATCAGTGTCAATGATCTCAGGGGAGTTACAAATGTTTTTTTTAAAGTGCTGTTCTGTTTCATTTACAAAAATGTAGTAAATCTAATCACATGCTAAATATGACTTAATTGTCTTTCAGGTTCATGTTTTATTACAGTTGTATGTTACAGTATGTGCAGTAAACAGTGTTCAATAATAATCAGGATGTAGAGTAAACATTAGTTAGCATCCTCCATATTAAGAATGACTAATGTTATTTATTTATTGGAAATAATTCTATGATCTGTGATGTGAACAGATCAGTGTAGTATTTTCATTAGGTTCTGTTTAAGTTGCACTTTAACACATTTTTGTGCTATTGCTAGTTTTGTCTGCTAGATCAACTTTGGTCCAATTAAGTTATACAAGTATAATAATCATCACATGTGCACCAGAGGATTTATATGAAGAAATATGTTTTCTTTTCACATTATTTGAATTTAGATCAGAAAATTAGAAAGTGTTGCAAACTTTCTATTATTTGAATATTTTATTGTAAGAAATAATAAATTCATTGTAAACAATTATTTTGTAACAATGGTACATATCACAGAGGACTGCCACTGAGGTAGTTCTACATTTTTATGTGAGGATCTGATAAAAGGGTTTAGAGTTTTAAAATATAATTTGAATACATTAAGGTACAGAAAGCATTGGCTGTTTGCAGACTCCCAGTCAAGATGTGTCAGAGACTCAAAAAGCAGAAGTATTCAGTGAGGAGGTTTTTGTCACAGTGTAAATCACTGTGATACGTACTCACTGACAGAGCTGTCCCATGTTTGACAGTAATAGACTGCTGAGTCTCCCTCCTCCACATTGTTGATGATCAAACGATAATCTGATTGTGACTGATGAGTAGATGTGAACTTTGGAGAGGAGAAACCAGAACCATAGGTTGGAGAGCTCCAGCTGTGATAAAAATATAAGACAAACTGAGGAACTCCTCCTGGAATCTGTTTGTACCAGCGAGCTTCACTGTTAGTAACAGTCCCCAGGTTACAGTCCATGGTGGCTGTCTCTCCTTTCCTCAGCGTCACAACAGGAGGCTTCTGTGTCACCACCGTCACACCACTCACACCTGGAAACAACAAGATGACATGGAGTCAAGAGAAACACACAGACTGATGAATCCAACATGAGCTCAAAGCTGCAGTAAGTCAGCCTCCTTACATGTTAGAGCAGTGATAAGAGTGCAGAGGGTCCCCAGCATGTTGTCAGTGTGTGCTGAGAATGGCCTTGTAACTTGGAAAGTGAGCGTACTGCTGACAGATTAGAGGGTTTAGAGGATGAGGAGAGGAGGTGCTGGAGGAGCAATTTAATACAACACTGAAACTGAGAGTGACTGACAGGAGGAGGAGCTTTGGTTCAATCTGCATTTGTTGGTCTCTCATCTTCTGTAAAGGGAAAAGTCATTTGTGTCTCTATTATTGTCAGTGTAGGTAATGCCCGCCCCCCGACCCAAAAATATTATAATAGCATTATTGGAAAAGACTTCCTGCAGTTTGATTGTCATTGATTTGGTTCTCTGCTCGCCTCCTAAAAACTGAAACTTCACCCATCCAATCGTGGATAATCTTTTGATTGGTATATTTATTTCCTTCAGTTCATAATTTTTGCATTTTAAGGAAAGATAACTATTGCGGGATATATGTTTTTAACTCTCCACACATTAAAATCATTCACACAAACAAGAAGTGAACTGTCTAATATTGACCAAAGGACACTAATCAAACCATCAGTGTGTTTCCAGTCAGAGACAGTTCCCTCTCATTTTACAGAGAGCTGATACTTGACCTCTTCATTTACATGGAGCTATAAATAAGGAGAGGAGGCCTGCAGGTGCATCCTGGGAAGGAAGAGAGGGAGGAGTAGAGAGGTGACGCTTCATTGACGGAGGATGAAAACTCAGTTTCATTTTCTCACTTTATCAGATTTTTCTAACGTCTTAACTTTTGCAAGCAACTTAAACCAGACAACGTAATATTTATCTGTCTGTTATACTTTTGTTGCAAATTAACTATTAATGACAATACAGCTTTCTGATTTTAAATATACTTATCCAAGCAAAAATTATACAGAAATATGTCTTTAACTATGTGATCTGGATACACTTTAATAAGCAGTGACATGAATATCCAGATAAGAATAAAATCTAGTGCAAGTTGCACATTTTCCAACTAAAATCATTGTTTCTAATTGAAAAAGAAAATAATAAACAAAATCAGTTTTTTTTATCACAGTGTTTCACAGACTTTTTATTGAATGAGTCTTGAAAAATGCAGCAGTTGCAAAGCTGATACAACACCTCCACCTAACTGTCACAACATTTATTACAAGCATGCAGACACATCTTTTCTAACATGTAAACCTTGTAATGAGCAAACAACAGTAAAGAAGCAGATTAGAAATGGTCATTCTGCTCCTCTGCTATTATTCAGTGGGACAGTCTGACTTCTTGATGTTTTTCTCTGAAGTCTGGGAGCCCAAAGACACTTTACATGTGTAAACCTTATCCATGTTCCAGTCTGACGTCTGGATGGCCAGATAGCTGCTGATTTGGAAAGTCTGGTCTGGTTTCTGAACAGCGGTGCTGGTAGAGATCCCACTGCTCACTGGACTCCCACCAGACACCCAGCTCACATCTGCAAAACCCTTAGACCCACTGGGCAAAATGGACAGACAGACCAGAGTGGCTGTGTAGAACTGGAGCTCAGCGCTGGACGGAGGGAAGACTGTCAGGACAGGAGGAGGGAAGCTGGAGCCTGAAAATACATGAAGGACATTCATTAAATAACTGGAAATTAAGCCATTAACACAAAAAATGTCAGTAAAACATTTATATATATTTTTTGTTTGAAAAATATAACAATCCTGCTGAAGAAATAAAGCATTTTAAATCAGTGAAATATTTTAAAGATCATGAACTAATATAAAACTGAATCAGTCACAAACCTGGAAATATTTTGATCACTTCTGTGTCATTTTTATGTTGGTAACTAATTCATTACCTTCACCTTCTGTGTCTTAAAATTGCATTTTAAATATAGTACAACATTTTTTAAATCACACTGAATCAGCTTTTGGCATCTATATAATTATAAAAGGAGAAACAGTTCTTAATTTCAAATATCTAACGTTTTGTTTTATTTAATCAATAAATTAACATTACAAGTACATAGTTTTACAGTATTAAGCATGTAAAATATTTTTTAAAATCTTTTAAACTATCACCAACATAGGAACTGATCATCTTCTTTTAATGTGTATCAGAATCAGAGAATCTTCCTTGTTTTATAATCAGTTAAAAGGAACTTGTCACAATCAGCTTGGTGCCTTGTCCGAATACCACAGTGATTCAGTTACATGGCTGTACAAAAACCTCCTGACTCTCACTAATGAGGGGAGTGGAACTGAAACATCCTGTTGAGACCAACTTTCACTGTCAACATCTCATTCACGTCATCAGTCTGCTTACATTCAGAAACACTGCTGGACCTGAGGACTGGTTCTGAATCTTCTATTGCATCCTTTTGTTTTCATGGTTTTGTTAAAATTTCAAATATCAGCATCAAACTGAGAATAACAAACATGAAAATCAGGCCAGCTGACAGTCTTGCCTGGGCCCGGGACGATATAATCTTCCCTTACTGTT